CCTTCCACTCTCTCTGAAAAGCAATGGAAAAAGTATCCTCCGGTGAGGATAAAAAAAAAAATGTCCATACTACTAAAATCAATCTATAAATTCAATGCAATCCCTATCAAAATACCACTGGCATTTTTCACAGAACTGGAAATAATAATCCTAAAATTTATATGGAACCACAAAAGACCCTGACTAGCCAAAGCAATCTTGAGAAAGAATAACAAATTTGGAAGTATCATGCTATCTCATATCAAACATTACTACAAGGCTATAGTAATCAAAAGAGCAAGGTAGCTGTCAGAAGAAAGGGGACTGAAGGTTGGGTGAGATGGGTGAAGAGATTAAGCAAAGAAAAAAAAGAAAGACTCATGGACACAGATAACAGTATGATGATTGCCAGAGGGAAGGGAGACTGAGGGAGGTAAAAGAGGGTAAAGAGGGGATAATTGGTGATGGAAGGAGACTTGACTTGGGGTGGTAAACACACAATACAATATACAAATGATGTATTGCAGAATTGTATACTTGAAATTTATATAATTTTATTAACCAATATCACCCCAACAAATTCAATAAAAAACCAACAACACATGGTAATGACATAAAAACAAACACATAGATCAATGGAACAGAATAGAGAGCCCAGATTTAAACACACACTTACCTGGTCAATTAATCTATGACAAAGGAGGCAAAAATATGCAAAGGGATAAAAACAGTCTCTTCAATAAGTGGTGTTGGGAAATCTGAACAGACACGTGCTAACAAATGAAACTACACCACTTACTTACACCCAATACAAGAATAAACTCAAAATTAATTAAAAACTTATATGTAAGACTCAAAACCATAAAGCTCCTAGAAGAAAAACATAGACAGTAAACTCTTTGACATTGTTCTTTGCAATATTTTTTGGATATGTCTCCTCAGACAAGGGAAACAAAAGAAAAAAGTAAACAAATGGCACATCAAATTAAAAAGGTTTTACACAGCAAAAGAAACCATCAACAGAACAAAAGGACAACCTACTGAATGGGAGAAGATACCAATGACATATCCAGTAAGGGGTTAATATCCAAAATATATAAGGAATTCCTACATCTTAACACCAAAAAGACAAACAATCTGGTTAAAAATGAGCAGAGAATCTGATAGATATTTATCCAAAGAGGATATACAGGTGGCTAATAGACATATGAAAATATGGTCAACATCACTAATGATCAGAAAAATGCAAAGTAAAACCACAATGAAATATCACCTCACATCCATCAGAATGGCTATAAAAAATCAGCAAACAACAAATGTTGGTGAGGAAGTGGAGAAAAGGGAACCATTGTGCAAGGTTGGTGAGATTGCAACTTGGTGTACCCACTATGAAAAACAGTATGGAGTTTCCTCAAAAAATTAAAAATAGAACTACCATATGACCATATCCCACTGATAGATATTTCTCCAAAGAAATCCAAACCACTAATTTGAAAAGATGTATGCATCCTTATGTTCATTGCAGCATTATTTACAGTAGCCAAGGTATGAGAGCAACCTAAGTGTCCATCAGTAGACGACTGGATAAAGAAGTAGTACATATATACAACAAAATCTTACTCAGCCATATAAAAGAATAAAATCTTACCATTTTAGCAACATGGATGGACCTAGAGGGGAATAAGTCAGATAAGACAAATACCATATGATTTCACTTATATGTGGAATCTAAATGAACAAGCAAAACAGAAACTAACTCATAGATACAGAAAATAAACTGCTGGATGGTTGCCAGGTGGGAGGGGAGTGGGAGCTTGGGTAAAAGAGTTGAAAGGATTAAGAAGTAGAAATGGCATTTACAAAATAGTCACGGAGAGCAAAGTTCAGCATGGAGAATAGGTCAATAATATTGTAATAACTACATATGGTACTAGGTGGGTACTAAATTTATTGGGAGATCACTTCATAAGTCATGTAAATGGCTAACCACTATGCTGTACACCTGAAATTAATATAATATTAAATGTCAACTGTAATTGAAAAATTAAAAAAAATTTTAATTAATGTTTTTGAAGAAATTTCATTATGTTGTATAATTGTTCATCTTCTATTAATGCAAAGAATAGAATACAAACTATGGGCAAAATATAATACCCTTGATGTCAAAATGTTAACAGCACTTATCTCTAGGTTGTGAGATTGTGGATGAGCTTTCTCTATCCCTGTGCTTTCTGTATTTTTCCACATTGACTGTGTTTTACATTTCTACTTAGATAAATGAAATCGGTGTGTGTGTGCTTTCTTTCCCCTTAACATGACAGGCACAATTGTAGTAAAAGAAAGAGAGAGAGAGACGTCCTAGCCAGTGGTTAGAGCGTTAGCCTACAGACTGAAGGGTCTGGAGTTTGATTTCGCCCCAGGCCACTTGCCTCTGTTGTAGGCTGCATCCCCAGCCCCTGGTCGTGGAGTGTTCAGGAGGCAACCAATCATTTGGCTCTCTCACATTAATGTTTCTCTCCCTCTCCATTCCACTTCCTCTGAAAAGCAATGGAAAAAAGATCCTCAGGTAAGGACACGCATTAGATTTCTGACCTTCCTTTCTAACACTCCTAAAATCTGGGTTGTCGCCTGAAATTGGGTAATATTAACTCCCTGGTGAGATGATTATGTGTCACCAACAAGAATGTGTTAATGTGTTGAATAGGAAAGAAAAGGAGCCAGGGCTCCAGTGCTACCCCCCAGCCACCCATTTAAGCCTCAGGCTAGTGCCCCTTTTCCAGCTCTCCTCCAGAAAGTGGGCCCTGATCTCCCCAGGGCACTCAGCATCTAGAAATCTAGAACCTTAGACAGGAATTCTGCAAGGATGAGTTCTCATCAGCACAAACTGTCCCCAAACTACAGAGTGGGGTTGGGGACAGTAGAAAGAGAAGTGGCTCAGCTGGTAAGCTGGGTGAGGTAAAGAAAGCTAGTATGATTTCCAGTCCTAGAAAACACATTGGGAATCTTCCCCATGTAGCAAAGAGTCCTCTATTCACAAAGAGAGAAGAAACAGACTTGAGAAATCTGTGGGTTACCTCTGTCCCCTGTGCGCTCCTTTATCCAGCGGGTGGCTGCAGCAATGTTCTCTGTGTTGGTGACATCCAGGATGATGGTCTCCAGCCTATCTGATGTCTTGGCCTTCAGCTGCTTGGCTCCCTTCTCTGTCAGACATGCAGCCAACACTCTCAAGCCTCGTAGGTCCAGCTGCCTGGCCAACTGGTTCCCAAAGCCAGAGTCACAGCCCGTGATGAAGACATACTTGTCTTGGAGGTGGCTCACTACCTGTCTCTCCCGGTACCAGCGCAGAAGGTAATACAGGCCCACGAGGACTGCCAGGTACAGCCACATGGCTTTGCAGGGGACAGGCGGCAGGAAAGGGTGAAACGAGAATGTAGTCAATGTTCAGTCATAATACCTAAAAAGACACAGGATGGCATGGGTGTGTCCAAACCTTCTGAATACACACCCATAAGGGCAAAAGTATTACATGAGTCAGTGATTATTTTATTTCAGTTTGTTTGGTTTGGCTATGTGTGTGTAAAGAACGTTATGCAAATCTGGACTTCAGATGAAGCATGAGGTTCTTGCTTGGCATTTGAGTGAGAGACATGAGCTGACCTGAGTTAGCTGACACCAGAAGAATGCAGTGATCCTTGAGGATCCTCCCGATCATCTCTGTATCTTCAGCAGTCTTAAGTCTCACACCAAGCTCTCACTACAGGTTTGAGAATGAATGGCCCTGCAACATCCCACCTCACTCTTTATATCACATAGAACAGTGATATTGTTCTATAACATAAGGTAGCACTGAAAGCACCATATCCATGGTTTCAAACTAAAAGAAGAAAACTAAGACACCTAGCAAGTACTTCCCAACTCCAATTTGTACTCAGTCCAGAATATATTTCACTGTGTGCAAATGCCCACTCTGTTGAGTCCATACTCAAAACATTGGCAGAACAGTGGAGACAGAGAGCTGGGGCCTCGGTAAGCCTGAGAAATTAAAGGAATTCCTAACCGGTACACAGTGGGTGCTCAATAAAGGTTTCAGAAAATGGAAGACTGGGGTCCAGAGGTGATTCTACTCCCTTCCACTAGAGAAGTTTAGGATGGGATCTGGGCATGCGAACCTGGGGGAGTGACAGAAGATGGAGGGATCACAGGAATCTACAGGAGGGGACAGATACTCTACAGATGGCACGTGAGGCTGATGGGGCAGGCTGTTGGCTTTCTCTTCACCCCTGCGTCTGTCCACCCAGGTTGAGGGCAGGTGGAGAAGAGACCTCATGCATCCAGAGAAGCGCTGGGTCCTGCCAGTGCCTCAGGACTTGTTTGTCCATCCTTATATCTTATCCTGTGACTCCAGATTTCTTGACACATCCTGGAAAAGAGACATTAGCCCCTCACCTCTCTGGGAGGAAGGAAGTGATGTCACTACCCTCTTCAAATCCCTACTCAGGTCATTCTACCCATCCATTAACCACCATTAAAGCACCTGACTCTTCCTCTCATCTACCCACGCCCCACTGCTCCCAAAGGCCACAGTTTCACTAACTGGGCCTCAATAAAGTTTTCAACTTTTACTTTAAGGCAAATATAATCAGTGGAAATCTATGTTTTTAAGACAAATCAATAACTGGTTTTGGTGTTCTTTCTCAGGGTCCCTATTGAGGACACCCTCTTCCAGCCAAGATCTGCTGAGTTGGCATCTGAGGCTGATGGGTGACAGCTGGTGGCGCCAGGCTGTGCTCCTTTTATGTTTCCCATACTCCTAAATCCCCTCCCTCTTCTCTTCCATCCAGGTCAACCACCAGGCTATCTGTCCTCTAAGGAGCATCTCTCTGCCTGTGGTCTCAGCTCCCCCACATCACAGCCATCCTCAGCCCTGTAGCCAATGGAGTCTCTACTGCTAAGGTGATGAAGAAGCTCCTCTGAATAAAGTGTTTCCCTGGGGCTTCACTGCCAACAGGGCTCCAGAACCCAATTATCCCAGCAGTTATGTACATGAATGGGCTGCACAGCTGAATAGTATTGGTTCCCATTCTGCCTCAGGTGCTTTCTGACTGTGGGCAGGAATAGGATGATTCAAACTTTATTGGGTGGGGTCCATCCAATATCTAGAACAGCAAAAAAAGGTGCTTCCGGCCCTGGCTAGGTGCCTTAGTTGGTTGGAGTGTCATCCTATACACCAAAAAGTTTCAGGTTCTATCCCCAGTCAGGGCGTGTATAAGAAGCAACCAATCAACGTTTCTCTCTCTCTCCCCCTCTTGCCCCCCATCTCCAAATTAATAAAAACATATCGTTGGTCAAGGATTTAAAAAAAAGGATGGTTCTAAATGAATGTCTGGAAAGAAGAGCCTCTGAGGCAGTGTGAAATCAACCCCTTGGAAAAGGCTCCCCCAGAAGAACAGGAACAGAAGAACCAAGGGAAGGCCTCTGTCCAATCTAATACCTAGGGTTGTCTGAGAAGGCCTCAATACCGTATTTGGAAATGCAGTAGCCCCACCTCCAAATACTCAACAGGCCCAAGACACTGGAGGCGTTGACCATGGGGTCCCTCACCTTCCTCACCAGGGACAGCAGACTCAGGGTCACCTCGATCACCCCCAACAGGTTCACATTGAGCATCTTTATGAAGTCCTGTTTGGTCAGCCACTCATTGGGTGCCGTGGGCACAGAGATGCCAGCGTTATTCACCAGGCCCCAGAGACCTGGGCACACAGAGGGGAGAGAAGAAGGCTGTGCTGAGACCTTGCAATGAGGATACAGCTGTGGGTCTAATTCACCTTCCAACAGAGTAAGGACAGTATGAGGAAGTGGCATGGGGAGAAGGTAGAACAGATAGCTACATGCTGTCTGCAAGGTTTGGGGCAGTGCTGTCCCTGTAAGCTGTTGGTGACAGAGAGTATGCCTTCCTCCTGATTTATTCCTAGTGCCCAGCCCCCTGCCTGGTAGATGAGGACAATCACCCAGATTTCATGAGGCAGGACCAATGTTAAGGAAATCTAGTGAGTCCACAGTGCAGATCACAGAGAGCCATGTTTGAGTTTTCCCACATCAGTGCTGTCCTTGCAGATATTGTAAATATTTATCCACATTTTCATATTTCTGGACAGTTTCGTTAGTGAGCAGTCAACAACTACCAATGAAGGAAAGAGAGAGACACAGACAGAGAGATAATGAAGAATGGAAGGGAAGAGAGAAAAATACCACATTAGATAAAAGACAAAAGTATAAAATATGGCTAATCTCTGGGGACACTTTTGTTGGGTAAAAGAGGCCTGAAATCCCAGGTGGGGGGAAACAGGGAGAACAGGTTTGTAGCTGACCTCAGATCACTGACCTTGATATAACCTGTATCAATACTGAACTTTGTTCCTGCAAGAGCTCTGAGAAGTCCAAGGCCAGGCTTTCAGGGAGGCCCAAGGCTGCCCCTCCCCACCTGCAGGCACAGACTTCACCCTGAGCCCCAGTTAATGCCACCCTCTCCTCTGCCTTGCACAGAAGGCCCTCTTCCCCCACTCCCCTGGACCCACAGTTCACCCAACTTCATGGAAATCTCTCTGCAAGATTCAAAGACACAGTCCCAAAGACACAAAGATTTGCCAACCACAGACCTCAGGGCAGCAGGAGCAGGGATGAGGAGGTAGACTGGCAAGTGGAATGAAGCTAGGAGTGGGGCAGCTTCCTCATGGCTCCCCTGCGGCATTAATTCAATGGAGCCTAGGCCCTGCTCACATCCACGGGAATGGACCATACCCCCTTCTCAGGAAAAAAGGCCGGGGAGGGCAATGAGGATGGCGGAGGCTCCAAGGGACTTTGAGGCTGGGTTACTTTGGACCTCTATGTCAATGCAGTTCTCCTTCCATTGTGGCAATGCCTTTCAGTTGGAGCCCTGGTGGAGCCTTGCAATAAGCATCAGTGGTTTGTGTCCTTCTGGAAGTGCATTCAGAGATCAGAGACCTAACCAGTCCACAGCTCCCTGACCTTCTGGAGAGGACTCCTGGAGGTGGCCCCAAACTCCTTGAACACCTTCCCCAAGGGCTACAAAATGGCTCAATGATCATTGTTTTGGGGAAAGAGGAATGACAGAAATCCAGAAGGTCCAGGTTAAATCTGGAGCAATGGTTTCATTTTAATGAAGCAACAGGAACTGTGCCTGAGTGTGCTGAACACTAGAACATTGACTCGAAGCCTCTGGAGGGAAGGGACTGAGTCTCATCATGTTTGTGTTTCCAGCACCTGACAGTGCCTAGCATCTAAAAGATACATGAATGTTGAGGTAGATGACACTGGAACATCCTGCTCCATTTTCTATTTTCACCTGCATTTCTTACATTGTCCGACAATATGAGATTCCCCAAAGCCTCCATTCCCCTCATCTTTATAATGAATCAAGATGAGTTCAGCAAGTCCTGTCAACTCCAACTCTCAAGTCTAAGAATCCATATGTTGTCATCAAAACGGTAAAACCTTAGCAAGTCAGGGCCTTAGGAAGTACTGGAGAATTCAAGGGGAATTTATGTCCAGCACACATTAGATGCTCAACAAAAGTTAGTCAAAACTGAATAAATCTGGAATCAGTAAGGGACTGTCAGCATCTGCAGAGACCCAGGGCAGGTGCTGGGATCAGAAGTTGGGGGAATCTGAGAGAGGAACAATGAGGATAGGAAACCTAAGGAGGGGGGAAGAGCTGAGGCATATTGGGAGGCTGTCAGTTTCCCTGGGGAAATGGTATCTAGGGCCCTGCCAATCTCTGTTAGTCTCTCCAAGTTTCCTTGTCCTTAGACTAACCTTGCACATTCCCTCTCTCCCTCTCTCTCCCTCTCTCTCTCTCTCTCTCTGTCAGAAATCATGGAGAGGAAGCAGTTGTCCTTCATTTTGTGAAAGGATGAGAGCTAGTAAGCAAAGACAATTCACCATCCCTTTCTCAAACCCCTCCCTAAATCATCCCATGTTTCTCTCAGACTTCACGAGGAGACTTCTCCCTCACTCAAGAAATTTCACAGAATCCCAAGCCTTGAGTCACCCCTCCAGAAGCACATGCCCCTGTCCATGAGAGCCTCTTCTAGGGTGGTCATTTTTAACCTTTTAGACACCATAGACCCCTTTGAAAATCTAAGGAAGATTCTAAGCCCCATAAAAATGACTCAACAGACAAGATTTTGTATATAGAGTACTTTTCTGGGAGCTCACAGACCACCTAAAGCCACTACGTGCCAGGAAGCCAGGTCAAGAATCACTGTAATAAGGGTTTACTGAACTACTAGCAGTATGACTCAGGCAAATAGTCTAAACTCTCTGTGCCTCCGTTTCCTTGCTTACCACAATACCCACCTCATTGTTATGAGGATTACATGAGGTGATACATGAGAAACACCTTGTAATTGTGCCTGGCAAACGGTGAGTATCCAATAGATGTTAGCTGTTACTACATCTCTTCTGTGGTAATTCATAGTGGCATTTGGGGATGTTTTTGACCTTCTACGTAAGAAACACAATGCCAAACAGCTAAATAAAAGAGGAAGCTGGTGTTGATCCATTTCAGAGAAAAAGGCTAGTGGTGATGGGACTCAGGAGAGGTATCTCAAGATCAGTTCCACAATAAGGATCTCTTCTTCCTCACCCCCGAGAAGCAGAAAAGGTCCATGCTTATGCCAAGCACTTTATATATTTTATCTCATGTATCCCATAAAATAACACTCTGAAGGAAGCATCAGTTATCCTCACTTTACATATATTGAGACTCAGAAAGGTAAAGTGACTTGCCTGAAATTGCACAGCTCCTAAGTGGTGGAAAAAGGTGTCGGAGCCAAGTCTAGTCCCCAAACTAGTGTTACCTCCACTGTGTCTCAGTGAAGCATGAGTGAGCAGGAAAGAGCTGAGCTGAGCCAAGGACAGGGTCACTGGGCCATATCCTTCTTTGGGGAGCCCCTTATCTGGTGCTTCTGAGCAGACAAGCCTACCTTCCCTGGCAGGGGGAGGCCATGGTCAATGGGCAAAGCAACTTCTGCGGCCAGATTTGGCTTCTGCACTCAGTGACCTTCTGGAAGCTCAGGCTGGGGATGAACATGCAATTGTTGTCAAACTCCTCAGCCTTGACTTGTTCACAATCCACCTGTACGTGCCACACAAAGTAGGGTCCTAGGCCACAAAGGCCACAAAATTTGGGGGGTGATTCCTGGGACAGCCTGCCTTGCCCCTTCCTCTAGGGTTCAGGCACAAGCCCTTGGCCCCTAACCGACCCTGGGAAGTTGCCTGCCTTTATCTGTGACTTCCAATAACTCCTCTCTGGTACCTTCCTTCCTTTCTGATTGTTGATTACAATGTCTGGTCTACATTTTTTGAAAAACAAAAGGGGGAGGGTGGGAGGAGGCAGAAGAAAGAATAAATTTCCAGGAATTGTTTCACTGTTGCTGCTCCTGTTGCTTCAAGCAAAGCCGCTTGCCCCCCACTCCTTTTGCCCAGATTGGCAAGGAGCCTGGGCTCCTGCCCCTCCCTCTTTCCCTTCCTTCCAGTCTCTTTCCAACTGCCCACCTCCTCCCTCCAAAGATAAACACCCATATGAAAACTGCCGAGCTATCACTTATTTCTTCCTGAGGGAGCAGATTTCCCTCTGTGCCTCTGCCAGAAGGGACCACCATCACTTCCTCTGGCTGCACATACACACTGGGTGATGTGAGGGAGTGGGGGCTGGGGAGCAGGTGGAGGTGAGGCTGCAGGGGGTGATGTTGCCATACCTGAGGGAAAAGGCCCTGGAGTGGATGATTCAGAGACACAGGAGACATGAGCCACTAAAATGCATTCTTGGAGAGGAATGGAAAAGGCCATAAGTCGAAATGTCTGGTTCGTGGGAAGAGAACAGAGATCAGAACTAGGAGGCCTTGATCTAGTGGAGTCTCCATCTGTATGGGTCAAAGGCATGGAGAAGGAAGCAAAATTTCTCATAAGGCTCCTTACTGAAAAAAGATATTCATAGGCTAGAAACTGAGATCCTAAAGAAAGGGAGAGAGAGTAGAACTGTCTGAAAAGTCGAAGCAAACCACATTTTATATCACCATAGCCCATCATGACAAATATTTTAAAATGTGATCAACTCTTAAATATATGTGTGTGTGTGTGTGTGTTTTGATTTCAGAGAGAGGAAGGGAGAGGAAGAGAGAGACAGAAACATCAATGATGAGAGAGAATCATTAATCTCTGCCTCCTGCACTCCCCCCACTGGAGATCAAGCCTGCAATCCCAGCATGTGCCCCAACCAGGAATCAAACCATGACCTCCTGGTTCATAGATCAATGCTCAACCACTGAGCCACACTGGCCGGGCATGACAGATTTCTTGATCTCTGTTCCCAGCTCCTGGGTTATAGGAGCATCTCTTCGTATAGTGAGGTGACTGTTGGTGGACTTCTGGACAACTTCAGGATGGGGGCTGGTCACCAGAAAGAACAAACCTTGATTAGAAGATTGGAACTTTCAGACTCACTCCCCATCCTACACGGAGAGAGTGGGCTGGGGATTAACTTAATAATCAATCATGCCTATGCGGAATACTCCATAAAAAACCCTAAACTCTGATGTTCAGAGATCTTCTGTGCTGGTGAACATATCCACATGCCAGGAGCATGGTTCACCCCAGCTCCACGGGGACAGAAGCTCAGGACCCTTCCCAACCTCACCCTATGTACTCCCCTCTTTATCTGGCTGTTCATATGCATCCTTTATAATAGCTAGTAAATGTTTCCCTGAGCTTTGTGAGCCATTCCAGGAAATTATTGGAACTGAGAGGGAGTTTTGAGAACCCTTAACTTTGTAGCCATGTTGGACAGAAGTGTGGGTGCCCTGGGGATCAATTGCTTGTGACTGGCATCTTAAATGAGGACAGTCTTGTGGGACTGAGCCCTTACACCTGTGGAGTCTGACACTAACTCCAGGTAGTTCTGAACGAATTGAATTAAATTATAGGATACGGTGTTGGTGTTCGGAGAGTTGGAAAATTGGTTGGAATGGGGGGAAAAACCCTACACACTTAGTGTCAAAAGTCTTGTGAGCAGAGAAACAGTTTTTCTAAAGGAGGCTTTAGGGGATGCATAAGTTCTTTCTGAGAACCTCTATGTTCATAGCAGCGCAATTTACAATAGCTAAGATCTGGAAACAGCCCGAGTGCCCACCAGTAGATGAGTGGATAAAAGTGCTGTGGTACATTTACACCTTGGAATACTACGCAGCTATAAAAAAGAAAGATCTCTTACCCTTTGGGACAGCCTGGATGGAATTGGAGATATTATGCTAAGCGAAATAAGCCAGTCAGAGAAAGACAAGTACCACATGATCTCACTCATATGTGGAATCTAATGAACAAAATAAACTGATGAACAAAATAGATCCAGAGACATAGAAGCATGGAACAGACTGACAAATCTCAGAGGGAAGGCGGTGTGGGTAGTAGGTAGGGAGAGACTAATCAAAGAATTTATATGCTTATAGTATAACCTATGAACACAAGCATTGGTATGGGGAAGGC